TCTCTTGGAGGAGCTTGTCATGCTGGCTTTCCTAATGAACTTGGCTGTTCTCATCATCTGAGGAGCTCAGGACCTTGTAATTGCTGAGAATGGCTGTGGTTCGCTTTGGGGGAGTGCTGGTCCTCACTCTAAGCATCGCTTCCTGGTTCCAGAGGGGAAGATGGTGCACTGCTCAGTCTCCTGGAGAAACTTGGTACGTTGGCTTTCCTGATGGGAACTCAGCTTTCTTCATCACTGGAGGAGCTCGGGACTTCACAGTTGCTGAGGATGGCTGCGGTACTTTCAGGGGAGCTCTGGTTCTTACTTTGAGTGTTGCTTCCTGGCTCCAATGCAGATCTCTTGGCCTGATCACACAGATCCTTCTGCTCACTGATACAGACTTTCTAGCTTCTACCACTGACTTTGGGGTTTCCCAGTGCAGATCCGTGAAACAGGCCTGCATGAGACATTGTAATTGGCTCTAGGCCTCCAGCTGGACTTGTGGGAGGCATTGTTATGAGCTCTAGGGCTTCAGATGGACTCATTCAGGACATTATTGTGGGATCCAGGCCCTCAGCTGGATTCTTTGGTCTTTAGTGTGTGGACAGATTTCCTGCACTCTCTTAAATACGATTTTTTGGGTGACTATTAAAAATAATCTTATAAAATGTGTGTCTTATATTATATCGTTCCCCTTGCAAACACTCCCTAAAACTACAACAAATCTCAAAAAATTTAAACAAAATGCATCATCTTGAGTTTTTTTCTGACAATAAAATGCAATAAAACTAGAAATCAATCATGAAATATCCTGGAAATTATTCAAATATGTAGAAATAAACTGACTCTTAATGACCAATAAAGAAAGGAAGAAATTGAGAAAGAAATTAAAGATTTTTTCAGATAAATAAAATCAGATCCACAACATGCTTAAACCTAGGGATACAGCAAAAGTTTATTGAAGGAAACTTACAGCAACCAACATCTACATTTTATAAAAAGTGGAAAGTTCTCAAACAATCTATTCCTGCATCTCAAGGGACTTGAAAAGCAAGAGCAAAGCAAACTCAAAAATAGTAGAAGAAAAGAAATAATGAAGATCATAGCAGAAATAAACGAGAACAACAACAAATGCAAAATACTGGTGAAACAAAAAGCTTGTTTTTGAAAAGATAAAATACACAAATCCTTAGCTAGGCTAAGAAAAGGAAAACTCAAGAAAATGACAGATGGAAAAGGGGACATTACAACTGATAGTTCAGAACTGCCACGGATCAATAATGATTATTATTAATAAATATACACTAACAAATTTGATAACTTAGAAAAATAGACAAATTCTTGAATACATACACCCTATCAAGACTGAAGAAATAGAGAAGTGGAACAGACCTTTAACAAGTAATGATACTGAGTCAGTAATCCAAAAAGTCTCTCACCATAGAAAACCCCAGGTCATTGCTAAGTCAATCAAACATTTAAAGATGAACTGACACCAACTCTTAAATCACCCCTACAAACAGAAGAGGCCAAAATCTTTCCCAACTCGTTCTATGAGGCCAATATTATCCCAATACCAAAACCAAGCAAGGACACAACAAATAAAGCTGGAGGCAAATATCTTTGATGAACATAAATACCAAAGTCCTCAACAAAACACTAACAAACTATATACAACAGCATTTTAAAAAGATTGTTCTCCATGATGAAGTGGGATTCACCCAGGAATATAAGGGTGTTTCAACATATCCAAATTTTAAAATGAGGCATATCACATCAACAAAATAAGGGACAAACACCACGCAAACATCTCAATAAGTACAGAAAAGGCATCTGATAAAATTCAACACCCACAGATCTCTTGCAACACAGAAGTGGTCCAAGGCAGCAAGGGCAAGGGGTGAGGAGAACAGAAAGAGAAAATAAGAAGAATAAAGATGTGCCATGTACAGGAAGCTAATAACCCAATTAATGTAAATACTATACACCATAACATGAGCTAAGACAAGTAATATCAACAAGTATGAAAAAGGGGATAGGGTATAAGGGAACCAGAAACAGAGGCAGGGACCAAAGAGGAAAGGGATTTAAAAAAAGAAAAGAAACAAGCTGTAATATATACATGTGGCCACTCCCAAGTACATGAACTGAAAACATGCACTCATAAAAAAATAAAATAATTGAACACCACTTCATGGTGAAAATGGTAAACAAATTAGATATAGAGGAAATGTATCGAAACATAATAAGGGCTCTTTGTGATACGCCAACAACTAACAAGCATTTTTTTCTGAAGTGGAAAAATCTCAAAGCTTTCTCTCTCAGATCTAGAACAAGACAAAGAATGCCCACTTCCACTCAGTGTAGTACTGGGAGTCCTAACCAGCACAAGTAGGCAAGAGAAAGACGTGAAGGGCAACAAGTGACAAAAGAGGGTGACCAGGGGTCACTGTATGTATAGGACATGGTAATTCACATAGAACACCCAAAAGACACCATCAAAAATCACTAGCACTAATAATCAAATTTAGCAAAGTTTCAGGATACAAAACTCAACATACAAAATCAGTAATATTGTTGTACATCAATAAGTAGTTATCTGAACTAGAAATTAAGAAAACAATTACATGTACAACAGCTGCAAAGAACACAAAATATCTAAGAATAAATTTAACCAAAATGGTGACAGGGCTCTATAAGGAAAACTATAAAACACTGACGAAAGGAATTGAAGAGGGCATAAAAATAAATGGAAAGACATCCTGTTTTCATGAGTTGGAAGACTCAATATTCTTAAAACATCTATACCACCCAAATCAATCTACAGATGCAATGCAATGCTTGTCAAAACACCAATCACATTCTTCACAAAGGTAGAAGAAACAATCCTAATACTTGTATGGAATGATAAAAAAGTACAAATAGTCAAAGACATTTTGAGCAGAAAGAACGAAGCTGGAAGCATTATATTACCTGACTGCATAATATACTACAAAACAGTCATCATCAAAACAATGCCATAAAATCAGAACAGAACAGAACAGAGCCTAGATGTAAATCTACACAACTATCACTAAATAATCTTCCAAAAATAATTCTATGAACATGCACTGGAGAACATACTGGCCCTTCAGTAAATGGGGCTGTGTATCCATATACGAGTGAAAGGAGAGCTCTATGTATTACCAGTTACAAAATTCACCTCTAACTGGACAAAAGACTTAAAGGTGAGAATTTAAGCTCTGAAACTACTATCAGAAAACATAAGGGAAATTGTTCAGGACATTGTAATGGTAAGGAGTTTCTAGAGAAAAATGCAAAGTATAGGAAACAACAGGAAAAGGAGATAAACAGCTCTACATAAAACCAAAGAGCTTCTGCACAGCAATGAACGAATCATCTAAATAAAAAGACAGCCTGTAGAATAGAAGGAAATATGTGCAAACTATATACCTCTCCAGGGGTTAGTATTCACAGTATAAAGGAACTAAAAACACTCAATATGTGAAAAACAAATAACCCAATTAAAAAGTAGGAATAAGCCTAAACAGAAAAAGGCATACAAAAGCCCATTGTGCATTTTTAAAAATACTCATCATAATTAACCATCAAGGACATACAAACAAAGCCCAGAATAAAATGGCACATCACCCCAGTAAGGATGGCTATTAAAAAAAAAAAAAAAAAATACTTAACAATAGCAAGGCTGGTGAGGGTACAGAAAAAGAACTGCAGCACACCATTGGTTGAAATGTAAATTATTACAGTGAAAAAAAACATGAACATTCCTCAAAAATTTTAAAACCATCACAGGACCCAGCAGACACATTACTGGGCATACACCGACAAGAAATGAGCTCATGATGGCCAAGAAACACCTGCAATCCTGTGTCCATTGCAAAGCTCCAAGAAGCTGAAGCAAACTAAGCGTCCATCAACTGATGAATGGATAAAGTTAAGATGGCAAATATACACAGTGGAATCCTATTATGACATTAAAAAATGAAATTGTCATCTGCAGCAACCCAGATGGAACTGGAGATCATTATGTTAAGTGAAATAAGTCAGGCACTTCTCGAAGTACCAAATGATCTCACTCATGTGAAATCACATCAGGTAATTTCAAAGAATGTGAAAGGAGAATGGTGATCACCAGAGATGAGGGAGAGAAGGGCGGGCAGACGTGAGGGTGATCAATGCGTGTAAAGTTACAGTTAGACAGAAGTAAGGTGCTCTGTGTGCATAGGAGGGAGACTATAAATAAGAAATGTTAAGCGTAAAAGGGTAGTGTATATTTCTAACAGGTACAGGAAAAAAAATGTGAATGTCTTCACCATACAGAAATAATGCTTAAGGCAATAAATATGTGTAACCTGGTTTCAACATTACACATTGTATACATGTATCAAAACACTACGTGAGCTGGGCATAGTGGCACATGCCTGTAATCCCAGCACTCGGGAGGCTGAGGCAGGAGGATCATTGCGAGTTCAGGCCAGCCTGTGCTACAAAGTGAGTTCAAGGACAGCCTGAACTGCATAGTAAAACATTGTCTCAAAAAGACCAAAAAAAAAACAAAAAACAAAAACAAAAACAAAACAAAACAAAAAAAACATGGTGCTTGAATAATATGCATAACTTTTATGGTTTTATGTATCAGTTTAAAAGACAAATTTAACAAATAAATAATAATAAATATTAAAAAGAAGTAGAAATATCAGCCTGCATTTTTAAAAGAATTTAGCCATCTGTAACCTTCATTCCAATGATATGAACACATCTTTACCTTATAGAACAGAAAGGAATATACTATATGGTAGCTGAAGGACTGAAATATATTTTAGAAAGGTCAAGGCCAATAACGTGCCTTCTAAGCCTTAGGGGCTATGAGTCACAGAGAACAGACATTTATTTTAGGAGACTGGAAAGAGTAAGGATAAACAACAAAACCATCATAAAGAAAACAGTAAGGAAGACAAAAGAAACCAGAGAAAGAACCGGATTCTCTTTCAAGAACCTACCGTTCCATCCCCACCACAGGCGAGAATTCTCAGGTTTGGTACTTTCCTATACAACTCGAGCCTGCAGAAGAAACAGAAGACAAAATAAACAAGGGAGCATATTATTACCTATAGCAGACAGAGGACACAGGGCCAAATGGGCAAAGTGGAATCCACTGGAGAAGAGACATACTCATGAGGCTGACAATACCACGAAAACAAGCACTCACAGGAAGACCGACTCCAACAACTGCATCTGGCCCGGGAAACAAACACTAATTGTAAATGGCCCACAGTGGAATGATTTGGGGATGTCTGAGAGTTTAATTTCTCATTTTTCCCAATATCATGTCAATGCATTCATTTTTATTTTTATTTTATTTTTGCTTCCCTTCTTTTTCTTTTCCCATTTTCCCCTCTATTTTCTTGAAGAAAATCATATTTAATCAGTAAATAATAGTCCCTATAGGTTCCTTCTTTATGTCATATTAGCTTTTCCTGGATCTATTTTTCAATCCTATATTTCCCACTCTCAAGAAAACTTTTTTAAAAGATGGGCAGGATTTCCCACTATCAGTGTTACCGCAGTCACCAGTCTGTCTCTCTACTCACTTTTTTTTTTTTTGGTCATTTTGAGACAGAGTCTCGTCATGCAGTTCAGACTGGCCTTGAGCTCACTTTGTAGCCCAAGCTAGCCTTGAACTCACAGTGATCCTCCTGCCTCAGCCTCCCGAGCACTGGGATTACAGGAATGCATCACCACGACAGGCCCTCCACTCACTTTCACAGTTCACTTACACTCCCAGTCAGAAGTGGGAAAGATTTAGTGTTTTCTTTTAATTTTGAATTTTCCTACCAGCAGTTCCATCATTTTATCTTTCTTGTTGGTTTTTAAGAAGATGCAGGGATGTTTCCCCTTCTCAATCCTTTTTTTTTTTTATTTTAAAGAGAATTTTAAAAAAAAGAACAATAGCAAAATGCCAACAAAATAGACAAAAACAAAACAAAGCAAAAACAATAAGAATGATACAGGGTTTCAGAACAAAATGATAGGGATTAACAGTGGTTGTTATATTACATATTTTTATCTTCATCCAAGTTGGTCAGGTTACCAGATATAAGAATGCAAGATTAATCATGGAGCTGTTAATGGCTCTACTCTAAAAAGCACTGCCTATTGATATCAAATAACATTTTTCTGAAAACATTTCCTGTCCCATTAGGCAGGTTATGCTGACCTATGAAACATCTGTATAACATCTAACTAAAGTGATGAAACCTTCTAAAAAATTAACATTCAAAAGAAAATAAGCCAAGTAGGTATAACAAATTAGTTCCCTCTCTCTCTCTCTCTCCCTCTCTCTCTCTCTCTCTCTCTCACACACACACATACACACACACACATTCATAAATGTACATGGCTGTGCTTCCCAGAATTTGACCCACATTCCCATTGACATTCACCCCCAGCGTATGTGTACAAGTGGAAAAACAGTAAATCCTCCCTCAAGTTAAAGACTCGAGGTGCATAATCTACAGGAGCACATACACAAGCAGCAAACACAGTACAGGTGCTCCCTGAGTCAGCAATTGAGAAGATAAATTTGGAAGCAAATTAATCCACTGACCAGTACAAAGGAACATCGGATCAAGTTGCAAAGGGAAGAAATTGTAAGACAGAGAGGAGAGGAGAAATGGTCCGAAAATATTTCACAAGATAATCAGATAATGGAGCTTGACCCCAAATCAGAAAGTTCTCACTTCCCTAGAAAAACATGTGGATTATGTAGGGAACTTCCAGACTTACGCATCTTTGGGTCCTTCCTGAGAAAGATCGAAGACCTGACGTGGGTTCAGGTACCACATGAACATCTGCAGGACTTTGGTTCCCTGTAAAGAGGAAAAATATTGACAATAATAGGAGAAATTTCCCAATATTAAAAAGTAAAAATAAATCATTTAATCTAAAACAAGAGTTATAAGTGGTATATAAAAATAGCTAAAAATCACAAGTTAAAATAATTTTGTCACAGCTGTACATAGCTTGAATGTCCAGGTGGGATGTTTGTGTAACTAAAGCTCTAGACAAGTTTCTTAATTTCATTAAGTTCAGTTTCCTTCTTTTTAATCTGGAGAAGAGATGCCTAGTTCACAAAATTGATGTAAGGATTAAAAGCAATAATGTTTGAGGAATACATCACAGTTTTTGACATGGAATATATGCTTCATAAATAGTACTTTTTCATGAATAAATTTTTACCATCATTACTTAATGTGTGAAAATCCATATGGGGAAATCATTAACCTATGCAATTTAACATTAATTTTTAACTTATTGTGCAGATTGTTACTATCCCTGCCATGTGATATATGTGCAGTATTAGCTAAGTATGGCTTTATTGAAATAATTTTTCTAACTGAAGCCAAAGTATAACTAGAGTATGTAGATGTAATATACAGTACTAAAGTTTTATAAGTTACTACTTAGTAACATCACAGCTTACTTCAACATTGTCTCCGTGTCTATGTTAGTTTAAACCAAACCTTTCTCTCTCACAAAAGCATGTTTTTTTAGAATGCTTTAAGTAACTCTGACATTCACAGAGATTATCATTATGACAGACAAATGGTTGTTTTGAATATCGTCTCTTAAAGTGGATAGAACAAACGAATGCTTAAGGGTCTTTTCATTAATCAGCACCAATAAAGCTTTAAAACTGAGTAAGATGCCTCATTTTTATCAATTACAACAGATAATATGCGATCAGTGAGGCAGAATTTGCTGCTTATAATATTATTCCTTTAGTAGATGGATATCATGCTTGCTCTTTCCTCAAATACCCCTGTGTGTATAACTAACATGCTATCCTTAAAGGTCATTCTAGTATAGTAGAAACAGCTCGAGCTTTGAGTCTAGACTAACTTGGGTCTTCTACCCGGGTAATCACGAGCACTCATCACTTTCCAGAAATGCAGTCCATAAAAAGAAAGGGTGCCTGCCTTCAAGGGTGATTATGTGAATTAAATGAATCAGCAATAATTACGTATCCAGCACAGTATGTGGTGAAGTAGGCCTTAGTAAATGTTAGTCCCTTTCTTTTCTCTCTTTTGTTAATCTATTCATTAAATCACACTTGATGGTGTGAGGGCCAAAGTGTAATCTGTGATTATCACATGATGACGCCAGTTGTTACAGAGCCGCGCAAGTCCTTTGTGCTACATCTCATCCAGATCTGTAACTGAAAAGTTCTGCCATAGCACATTCGTGCTTAATTTTGGGAAGAACATTCGATCCTTAATTATTACAACTAATCCTTCGGTTTCACCAAATGCTATATTTTGCTTCTTATCGAATGCAAACATAGATTTAGAGACACAATACTAACTAAATACAGGATCATTTTCTTTCTTTCCCATGCTGGGCTTTGCTAGCAACTATGTTCAGGATTATTTCAACCATCGTTTTTTTTTTTTGTTTAAGTTGCTAACATAAGAATCATTTTAATGACCAACCAATTTAAAGAACATTTCCCACTGATGTGCTAGAAAATTAATTTTTCAGTTTTAGATTCGAGGAGCAGCGTGAACTGCTGGTGTTAATGACTCCTTTTCACCTTTGCTGTGTGCACATCTCAATGTCAGCTTCTCCTACTATGCATACAATATGAGGTAATTAACACTTTTCAGAAAACAAAAATCAATGCACGGTTATTTTTCTTAAAATTCCTCTAAAAGATATGAGTAGCTGCACAGTTTCAGTTTTGCTCATTTTCAGGTGGTGTTAGCTGGAACTTCTAATTATATCAAAGTAGCCTAACAGGGAGGGTTCAGCACACCCTTGCAAAGAATCCCCCTACTGCAGCCTGCTGGATGCCACCCCTAGACTCCTACTCCAATAACCTGGGCAGCCAGGCACAGATACCCCACCACCGCTGGCATCCAGGCATGACAGAATTACTGCTTTTAAAAAGTAATCTTCTTTTGGAAATGTGATCTTCACTAGGAAAAATAAGAGTTCAATGAAAAGCATTTTTTACAAAATCAATCCTACCTGGTGGAGACAAAAGTTCTAACTCACACATTTAAGTGAGCTCCATTAACTCCGCAGCTACTTCGAGGATAAGCTACTTTAGGGTTTTTTTTTTTTTTTTTTTTTTTTTTTTTTTTGGTTTTTCTCCGGTACCGGGAACTGAACTCACGACCTTGCGCTTGCCAGGCAGGCGCTTTGCCGCTGAGCTAAATCCCCAGCCCCATACTTTAGGGTTTTAATGGAGGTAATTTGTTAAATAGAACTGAGTGGTCTGACAGTTGCTAATTCACTGGGAAAAGTGTAATTCGCTTCTTTCTCAATGGCAAGATTAAATCCAGTCATTTACACAACTGTCACTTACTAGCAAGTCTCAAGCCCTCTCAACGTTGTCACATACTATGTGTCAAACATCAAAGCTGCAAATTTCTGTTTTTGTTTTTGTTTCTTGAAATAGGATCTTGCTATGTAGTACAGGCTGGTCTCAAATTCATGGAAATCTTCTGTCTCAGCCTCCTGATGGCTGGGATTACAGGCGTGCACCAACACGCTGGGTTCAAAAGCTAGAGCTTTGGTACAAGACTGCGATTGCCTCTAAGTAGAAAACCAGTTTGCCTGTGAGTTTCAACACCTACTATAGATACTTCACTGCCCATGAAGCTTTTTTAAAATATTATGCAATTGGGTTTTCTTCAAGAGTGAAAAAATTATTCTTTCCAGCTCTGGATACTGGAGATGGTGCGCTACTGGTACATGAAATCCCCCACCCCCACAGGCAGATTGTTAGAGACAGAAATGAACAAGATCTATTCATTCTCCTATTTGCCTGGCCATTTTAGAAGAGGCCAATGGAGAAATCAACCAGAGAACATTGTCCTCTTACAAAGACTTCTATGTGTGACTCCTAATGGAAAATGTGAAAACAGTGACTGGTGTTGTGGAGAAGTGAACAAGGACACTTTAGCTCAAACTGCACATCACTTCATCAAAGCCCTCCTGGAACCTTCTCTTGTGTCGCTAAGTCTCAGTTCACGTGTAGATGTTACCTGGATCATGGATGTTACCCAGATAATAAGAAAGCTCAAGAAAAATAAAAGTTACTGGGAGAAAAAGCTTAGGCAATTATTTTAAAAGCTGACACACAATGCCAAAACAATCTATCATGTTTTTATTCATTAATTATGTAGTAGGTTCCAACTCTGTGTGCACACATCTCAGAAGCTCAGAACCAACTGCTAGGAGATCAACACCAAATCAGCTAATTTGCTAGAGATGGAAAATCCTACGATAATGCCCAGTGAGAGGCACGTGTGCTTGGAGAACGTATTATCTAAGTACAAGTTCAGAGAGGAAATGAAGGCATCCTAGGAAGGATACCTGCATTGTATCTTTATTTATATTTTTTTTCAGTATTAGGTGTTGAACCCAGGGTCTCTGCACTGAGCTACATTGCCAGCACTTTTGAAATTTTTATTTTGGGAGAGAATCAGTAATGTTCCTAAACTGGGGTAGAATTGTTGATCCTCCTGCCTCAGCTTCACAGAATGTTGGTATTATAGACTTCCACCAGCGTGCTTACCTCCTACATTTTGTATGTTAAAGATAAGTAGAGTTAAACATCTCTTTCCACAGGGAGTCCAGGAAGAAGTTCTAGAACGAAGGCACAACATATGTGAAAGTGCAACAGTGTGATGAATTGTGAGCCCGCGAGTGCTGGGGAACGCAGCAACTGGAGTGAGCTGGAGATGCTAACACCTACGCTGTAAAACTTAACATTTTAGTTTGTAGGAAACAAAATGTCCCTGAAATGTTTTAATCAGGAGACTCAGACTGACTTCCTTTTTTTTTTTTTCCTGTGCTGGGGATTGAACACAATGTCTTGTGTCTGCTAAGTAGGCACTCTACCATTGAGCTATATCCTCGGCCCTTTTAATTTTTTTGAGACAGGTGTCTCACTAACTTGTCCAGCTGGGCTCAAACTCCCAATCCTCCTGCCTCAGCCTCCTCTAAAGAGCTTGGATTACAAGCATGTGGCAGTGCAACTGGCAGAGACTGACATTTTTGTGTGCCATTATTCCACCTACAAATTTGACGGCTCCAGGCTTACAAAAGGAGTTAGAAGGCTTGGCTTGTGTCTTAGCTGCCCACAAGCTCCCACCAATATTATGACTTAGAAAAACGGTCTTTAGACAGCCCAAATTCATGGTTCAGTTGTTTTTAACCCCATCTGTTGAACCTGTTTTAACCAGAGAATATTGATATTAGATTTTGACACATGCTTCCCTCTGACGACTACCTGTCTGTCCTCTTTCTGGACTACTCTAAACTTTTGAAGCATAAGTTTTTATCTAAACAATTATCTTTTTTATCTGTCCCCAAGTTGAAAAGTTGAAAAGTTGAAAAGTCTCCAGCATTAGCAGGAAATAACTTTTCTACTGTGGTTGTTTGTACAATTATTTAAAAGTTTGGGGTCCCAAATTTCTCATTTGAAGTTATCTACATTTTATCTGCCCCTTCTCCCCACCTGATATAACTGATGCCTTACTTGGGACCACGACACTGTGTGCGGGAAACCTGTTTACAGATGGCAGGTGGTGTGAGCTCTACCAGCACAAATCAGTCCACTGGCTGGTCACCTCCCATTCAGAGGGTGCCCCATGGAGCAGAACAAGGGTGCCTAGGTGCAGGAACCCACCTCACATTGCCCCCATGCCCCCCAAGCTCCACAAGGGAGAGTGAGAGGAACCAGGACCTAGCCAGTGGTCCTAACACCTGCTTATCCCTACATTTATCATCCAAGTCATCAGGAAGAAGGCCAAGAGAACATGAGAGAAGGGCAAAGCAAGGAATACTGAGCAAGATC